CTCCCCATTCATAAGTTAATTCGTCAGCTAGAGAGCCAGGGAGTGATCAGCAAAACTCACTCGCCTTTTAACAGCCCCATATGGCCAGTGCGTAAAGCCAGTGGAGAGTGGAGGCTGACGGTGGACTACCGTGGCCTGAATGAAGTCACACCCCCACTGAGTGCTGCTGTGCCGGACATGTTAGAACTCCAATATGAACTGGAGTCAAAAGCGGCCAAATGGTATGCCACCATTGACATTGCTAATGCCTTCTTTTCCATTCCTTTGGCCAAAGAATGTAAGCCACAGTTTGCTTTCACATGGAGGGGCATTCAGTATACCTGGAACCGTTTGCCCCAGGGGTGGAAACGCAGCCCGACCATTTGCCATGGGTTGATCCAAACTGTATTGGAACAGGGCAGTGCTCCTGAGCACCTGCAGTACATTGATGACATTGTTGTGTGGAGCAATACAGCAGAAGAAGTCTTCACGAAAGGAGAGCGAATAATCCAAATTCTTCTGAGTGCTGGTTTTCTGTTAAGCAAAGCAAAGTGAAAGGACCTGCTCAGGAGATTCAGTTCCTAGGTATAAAGTAGCAAGATGTCTGTCGTCGCATTCCTGCAGGTGTGACTGCCCTCCTCAGGAAGGAAGTCTTAAAGGTGCAGGAGCAGTCTCTCCCCCTGTGCTGTAAGTTGAGCTGAGGGAGACGATGACCGATGTGGGTGAACAGGGAACTTTTTCTGAAGTTCCCGAAGAAAAGGATTCTAACTGCTGTGGAAAAAGTGACGGGCAAATCAACGAGAGTACGAAGATGTTGTTAGGATGTGCGGAGAGAAAAATAGAAAGGCAAAAGCCCCGTTTGAACTCAACTTGGCTGCTGGGGTAAAAACGAACAAAAAACTTTTTTACATACATTAACAGTAAGATGAAGGCTAAGGGAATCTCCATCCTTTCCTGGATGCGACAGGGAACATGACCACTTAGGTTCTCAGTGCCATCTTTATTTGTGTCTTTAAAAGTCAGACTAATTATCTTTGGGGTATTCTACCCCCTGACCTGAAAGTCTGGGGTGGGGAACAAAATCAACTCCCCGTGATTCGGGTGGAAACAGTCAGAGACCCACTACTCCACCTGGAGTGTTACAAGTCCATGGGGCCAGATGGGATCCACCTGAGAGTGCTGAGGGAGCTGGCAGAGGTGATTTCCAAGATGCTTTATACCATCTATAAGTGTTCCTGGTCAACCAGAGAGATCCCAGAGGGTTGGAGGCTTGCCAATGTGACTCATATCTACAAGAAGAGTCGTAAAGAAGATCTGGGGAACTACAGGCCTGTCAGCCTGACCTCGGTGCCAGGGAAGGTTATGGAGCAGATCATCTTGAGTGTGATGTGTGTGCGGGACAACCAGGGGATTGGGCCCAGCCAGCATGGGTTCACAAAAGGCAGGTCTTGCTTGACCAACCATATCTCCTTCTGTGATCAGGTGACCTGCCTGGTGGATGAGGGAAAGGCTGTTGATGTAGTCTTCCTGGACTTTAGCAAAGCCTTTGACACCATCTCCCACAGTATTTTGCAGAAGCTGGTAGCCCATGGCTTGGACAGGTGCACTCTTTGCTGGGCAAGGAACTGGCTGGAGGGCCGGGCCCAGAGAGTGGTAGTGAATGGAGTTAAATCCCACTGGTAACTATTCACAAGTGGTATTCCCCAGGGGTTGGTATTGGGGCCTGTCCTCTTCAATATATTTATTGATGATCCAGATGACGGTATTGAGTGCACCCTCAGTAAGTTTGCAGATGACACCAAGCTGGGAGGAAGTGTTGATCTGCCTGGAGGTAGGATGGCCCTGCAGGAGGATCTGGACAGGCTGGATCACTGGGCTGAGGCCAATGGGATGAGGTACAACAAGGCCAAGTGCCAGATCCTGGATTTTGGCCGCAACAACCCCAGGCAATGCTACAGGCTTGGTGCAGAGTGGTTGAAAGACTGTGTGGAAGAAATGGACATGGGGGTATTGATTGTACTGATTGATGCTTGGCTGAACATGAGCCAGCAGTGTGCCCAGGTAACCAAGAAGGCCAATGGCATCCTGGCTTGTGTCAGAAATAGTATTGCCAGCAGAAGCAGGGATGTGATCATCCCTCTGTACTTAGCCCTGGTGAGGCCGCACCTCAAGTACTGTGTCCAGTGTTGGGCCTCTCACTCCAAAAAAGACATTGAGGCCCTGGAGCATATCTAGATAAGGGCAACAAAGCTGGTGAGGGGTCTGGAGCACAAGTCTTATAAGGAGCGGCTGAGGGAACTGGGATTGTTTAATCTGGAGAAGAGGAGGCTCAGAGGAGTCCTTATCGCTCTTTACAACTACCTGAAAGGAGGTTGTGGCGAGGTAGGGGTTGGCCTCTTCTCCAGTGTAACTAATAATAAATAGGATGAGAGGTAATGGCCTCAAGTTGCACCAGGGGAGATTCATGTTGGATATTAAGAAAAAACTTGTACTTCTGTTGAATAATGAAAATAACATTTGTTGTCGTTATTAGTGATATTTTCTGTCTGCTCGTTCTGAGACTGCAGCTGCAGGTGGTGCTGCAGGCAGAGCTGTTGTGAATTGGTGAGTTACTTGAAGTGAAAGCCTTAATGCCTGCCTGCACCCGTGGCTCTGCAGCTGGCTCACTTCAGTCAGCTAGCCTTTGTGAGGCTTTGTGCTCCCAAAGGTCAAGTTTCTTTTCCTTGGGTCTTTCAGAAGGAGCATAGTTTTTCTTCATGACCACTCCCAACATTGTGATGGAAAAATCTAAATGGAATAGATCTGTAAGCATTAGAGTTCAGCAACTGTAGGAAATCTCAGGGAATTGCTGTCCTTCAATCTGGGATTGATATATTTATACTTAAAAAAAAAAAAAAAAATTGAGGGGAGGTTATATGGGCTGCTTTTTGGCTGGTTGCTTTTTTTTGTTTGTTTGTTTGTTTTTGTGTGTGTGTGTTTTTGTTTTGGAGCTCATTTATAGGTTCTTACAGAGTAAGAGTGTACCTGTGCAATGCAAATTCGAGACAACTTCAGTATCTTACAGCTTTTTCCTTCCCTACCCTGATAATTTATCAACATGTAACATGACGGCTTATCTTGCAAGCTAAGACTGGCATTAACAGTGTGTGGTGGCGTATCACAGAAAAGCTCACCAAGTGTGAAATAGGGAAAGAAAAGAGACAGCTAAAGGTAGCTCACTGACTAGCACGGAATTGTGTTAGAGTTAACTGAAAACACCAGAATAATGATAGAAAGTACGCACACTTAATTCCGCATACTGTTCTTGTTCCTTCAACTGCAAATTTAGTGAACTATGTTGATAATGTTTGCTCTGGCTTGAAATATAGGTACTCTCTTGTAAATGTTTTACTGAAAAAATTTATCTGCATAACTTGGGGCTTAGCTGCTTCTGAGTGCCAAAGTGCTACTGTTTTTCAGGTCCTGAGATCATGAGCAAGCTGGCTGGTGAGTCTGAGAGCAACCTGAGGAAAGCCTTTGAAGAAGCTGAGAAGAATGCTCCTGCCATCATCTTCATTGATGAACTGGATGCCATTGCTCCAAAGAGAGAGAAGGTAAAAATAGCCTGTATGGGAGTTAAAGAAGTGCCTATGCACCCTTTTTGCTAACAGTTGGCATGAATCTCTGAGTATAGGGTAAAGATGCAGTTAACTTAATGCTTTATTTCAGTCAGGCGTGAGAGGAATTGTATACAGTTCACAATGTTTCTTAACAGCTTGTGGCTGTAATGTCTGTCTGCTCTGGTGCAACACTAATTTCTGGTCTGTGCTGTAGAGTTTTTAGTCTAATCATTTTTTTTCTCTCTGTAGACACATGGAGAGGTGGAACGTCGCATAGTATCTCAGCTGTTGACTCTTATGGATGGACTGAAACAGAGGGCACATGTGATTGTTATGGCAGCTACCAACAGACCTAACAGCATTGACCCAGCGCTCAGGCGGTTTGGTAACTAGGATTGTCATCTCTGTTTTGTGTTTTGGATACTTTATTACAGACTATGCTTCAGGGCCCTTGGAAAGATTGAGCAGAAATTGATATTAAACATCTGTGTGTTTCATAGACTGTGACTTTTCTCCAGCTACTTGTTTGAAATCAATTTCTAGGCTTCCAGACTTTTATATCATTTTCTGTCTTATTAGGTTAGAACTTGTAGAAATAACAAAATATTTTGAAATTGTGTAGTAGCCTCTGTTAGGTGAGTAAATAGCTGCTTGAGGGGATGTTCATGCTTCAGGTTGTAGAATTCTCTGACTTCTCTTATTGGTGAGGATCCTGATGGTTTTCAAAACTCTGCAGTGTGAATGTCTGGTGTATGAGCAGTTGGTAAAGTCTGTAATAGCAAAAAAGTCAAGTTTGCAGGAGAAAATGGCATCTTCAGTATGCAGAGGCATGACTAGAAATAAATGATAGACATGGGTACCTTAGTTAATATTGCAGTGGCAGTTTTTACTTTTCACCATTTGGGTATTGATGAGTAATGCAGAAAGTTCTGAAAAACTAAATGTCTTGGAATTTGCAAAGTCTTACGCTGAGGACGCAAAGACAGAAGTAAGCAAAAATGTCTTGTGGTATGTTGGTTAGGGAAAGCATATTTTTCTACAAATGAGGCTTGGAAAAAGTTACTAAATCAGTAATACTCTGCTTGAACTGAAGTTAATACAGTATTATTTTCCTAAACAGCTAAGGCCTTTCTTCCTTCTCTGATCTGACTCTGCAACTATGCCGATATATTCTGTAGAGAATATCAAAGCTGTGGTGTTTTCTGAAATTGTGTGTTTGTGGCTTGTCATTATGTTGCTCAGTCAGAGGAAAACAGCAACTGCAGCTTCTTTGGTTTACATAATCAGCAGCTCATCGTGTTCTGTACTCCCCAGGTCGTTTTGACAGAGAGGTAGATATTGGTATCCCAGATGCAACTGGGCGCCTGGAAATCCTGCAGATCCACACAAAAAATATGAAACTGGCTGATGATGTGGATCTGGAACAGGTGAGTAGCATGCTATTGGGAAAGCTTGTCTCTGCAGATGAATGTTCCTGATGCTGTGTTTTGTAGTGGAAATGTTGTGACTTTGCCCTTGCAGAGTGCTTGCCTGTATGCTTATGAGTCAGTCAGTGCTTTGCTTTCAGGTGGGAAACGAGACCCATGGACACGTTGGTGCTGACTTGGCTGCTCTTTGCTCAGAAGCTGCTCTTCAGGCTATCAGAAAGAAGATGGATCTCATAGATCTAGAAGATGAAACCATTGATGCTGAAGTGATGAACTCCCTGGCTGTGACCATGGATGACTTCAGGGTAATGCAAGAGTGCCCCTCTTCTAGGTGCAGCGTCTAATTACTTATTTGAAATGTGTGAACATGATGTAATAACATAATGTCATTTATTCTAATGGTAGTGGGCTCTGAGCCAGAGCAACCCTTCTGCTCTTCGAGAGACTGTGGTGGAGGTGCCACAAGTTACCTGGGAAGATATTGGTGGCCTAGAAGATGTAAAGAGAGAACTCCAGGAGCTTGTACAGGTAAGGGTTTCCAACAGATTTTTTGCCTAGTCAGTATAAAAAGTAATGATGGTAATAAAATACAGAACCTCTTCATATTCTTGTTCAGGCTGTGAACAGGGTAAACACAGAGGTTCTTATGGCAATTGCTTGTAACAGAGTGAAAATACCGCAGTGTACCATCTTAGTGAACTTAGAGAGAGGAAGGTGCTAGGAAGCAACATCAGGCTTTCCTTAATAGAGTCTACAGTGACATCTTTGCATGTAGCACAAAACCCACCAGAAACGGCAGTAGTTCTGCTTCTCTTAAGCAGAGACCAGCAATGGGACCACTGCCGAGAATTCTTTTATGTGGTGGCTTTATCTGCTAGAAGGTGGATAAAGATTCTCATACAGTAAGCCTCCAGAGGGGTTTCCTATCAGCACTGGCATAGGGACAGAAGAAAAGTAATAGTGAAGCCTCTTATGAATAGAGACAAAAAGTCATGAATTATCTGTGGAAATGTCTGGTGTTTGTTTTTGATACATCTCTGCTTTCAGTTAGCACTGTAGAGACACCCTATGACTTAAAATAAACAAATACATAAAAAATTCCAACTTCATTCTGTTAAATCACCTAGCTCTGATCTTGTTAAAGATCATAGAGTCATAGAATCACAAGGTTGTAAAGGACCTACTAGATCATCTAGTCCAACCGTCACCCATTACCACTGCTACCACAAGCCTCTAAACCATATCTTGTAACTCCTCATCCAGACACCTCTTGAACACTGCCAAGGACGGTGACTCCACCACCTCCTTGGGCAGGCCATTCTAGTGCCTGACCACTCTGAGATAAAAAGGTTTTCCTTATGTCTAACCTAAACCTCCTCTGGTACGACTTGCGGCCATTTCCTCGGGTCCTGTTTGTTGCCTGGGAGAAGAGGCCAAACCCCTCCTCATCACAGCCTCCCTTCAGGAAGTTGTAGAGTGCAACGAGGTCTCCCCTGAGCCTCCTCTTCTCCAGACTAAACAATCCAAGCTCCCTCAGCCGGTCTTCATATGACTTGTGCTCCAGACCCCTCACCAGTTTCATTGCCCTTCTCTGGACACGCTCCAGGGGCTCAATGTCTTTCTTGTAGTGAGGGGCCCAAAACTGGACACAATACTTGAGGTGCGACCTCACTAGTGCTGAGTAGAGGGGAATGATTACTTCCCTGCTCCTGCTGGCCACACTATTTCTAATACAGGCCAGGATGCTGTTGGCCCTCTTGGCCACCTGGGCACACTGTCAGCTCATGTTCAGCCGAGCATCAACCAACACCCCCAGGTCCCTTTCCTCTTCACAGTCATCCAGTCACTCATCCCCAAGCCTATAGTGCTGCATGGGGTTATTGTGACCAAAGTGCAGGACCCAGCACTTGGCCTTGTTGAACTTGATCCTATTCATCTCAGCCCAGCGATCCAGCTGATCTAGATCCCTCTGAAGGGCCTCCCTACCCTCAGGCAGATCAACATCACCTCCCAGCTTGGTGTCATCTGCAAACTAACTGAGGGTACACTCAATCCCCTCATCTAGGTCATCAATAAAGATATTAAACAAGATGGGCCCCAGTACCGACCCCTGGGGAACACCACTTGTAATGGGTCGCCAGCTGGACTTCACTCCATTAGCCACTACCCATTGGGCATGGCGCTCTATCCAGTTCCTTACCCAAAGAAGGATATACCTGTCCAGGCCACGGGCAGCCAGTTTCCCCAGGAGAATACTGTGAGATACCGTGTCAAAGACTTTGCTGAAGTCTAGGTAGACTACATCAACAGCATTTCCCTTGTCTACCAGTCTGGTCACCCAGCCATAGAAGGAGATGAGGTTGGTCAATCAAGACCTTCCTTTCATGAACCCATGCTGACTGGGCCTCATCCTTTGGATACCATGCACGTGCTGCGTGATCTCACCCAAGATGATTTGTTCCATAACTTTCCCTGGTACTGAGGTCAGGCTGACAGGCCTGTAGTTCCCTGGATCCTCTTTACAGACCTTCTTGTAGGTGGGAGTCACATCGGCAAGCCTCCAATCCTCTGGGACCTCTCCAGATAACCAGGAGTGCTGGTAGATGGCAGAGAGTGGCTTGCATTAGAGTGCACTGTGCACCAGTGTCCACCAGGGCCTTATATTTCCATGATTCTGATGTGCCAGGTCATCTAATCCACACAGTCCAATAAACTCTATTATCCCTTTCCCCCCCCGGCTGGGGGCAGGGCCCCTCTATTTGTTACCTCTGTTGTCTGCAGCAACTGGAGCAATCACCTTTTTGGAGAAGTTCACCTTGGTGGTTGATTTGTCTTGTAATTCTTTTACCCGTGCTTGAACTGCAGGAGTAGGTTGTTTATGCCACTTCTTCATATCTTCTCCATGGTCATGTAGATAACACCACAAGGCAAAACGTGACGTGGTCTTACTGTTGTCACTTGCTTGAGCAGGAGGACATCTTCTTTTGATAGCTGAGATGTTGGATGACACCGGCTAGGAGGAAACCAATTTTTTCAGCCCCTCCAGTAGGCTGTTTTGGGAATTGTGGCCTCCATTGGATATATCTGTTACCACCATGGTTCCATCAGCATTATGCAAGGTTGATAGTTTGTCTGTTATATCTTCTTGTTTGCTTTTCATTCTGTTCATCTTTTCAGCTACTTTTTCAATAGCTGAAACACAAGCTTGTAGAGGGCTTAAATGTAACTCAAAGTCTTGAAGTTTATTAACCAATTCATTTTTAAGGGGTCTTCTTTCCCCTCTGCCATACATTGCTGCAAATGTACTGGCGTACCTTTCTGGTGCAGTCTTTGTGAATGTACACCACATGTTTGGTGTACACCTGACTCTCTCAGGATCATGCTCTTGGTCTGGATCATCAGGAATGAAATCAGGGTGTTGCATTTCCACATCATTTCCACATACCATTAAAACAGTTTCTCACAGTGCCTTCAAAACGCACAAATCAAACAATACATTTCCTCAACTTCCACAAACACCCAGCACTTGGTCTCATGATTAGGATACTCAATTATAAAACTGGTCCCATTACTCCATTTACGTTCCTGGTTTCTTATTCAATATTCCCCCTGGCTCACCAACAATGTTTCTCCAGTGAGCCAAAATACAACCCAGGGGGTCTTCTCATATCACTTTAGACACCCCTTGTTCCATAACAGCCTCATACACAACGTAACATAACACTTTCACAACACAGACATTTAACAATCACACAGACAGTGACAACAATCAGTACAATTTATCCTCAGGACCCTTCCTCTCTCTGCCTCCCTCCAGAGCCCAACCTTCCCTCTGTATTCATTTCCTACACTTGCGTAGCTGCCCACCTCCTTCTCCAATAAACAACATATCAATGATAAACATCATTTCCATCCATGAGTAGAAATTCGGCCCTAGAAATTGATCTAATTGTTCTGCTACACTTATAGGATCCTCAGTTAAGGAATTCTTCTTGAAACTCCTAACTTCTCTTGTAGTAAAAACAGCAGGCATTACCATACCCTATTTCCCTTTGACCTAGACTTCCTTAAGAGGATGAAGTGAAGTGTTAGTAAGGTTAGTATTAGAGAAAGGAAAACTGTTCAGGTCTCATTTGCATTACTCCAACTTCCTCAGTAATCGAGAGTGCATCCTCTCTCCAGGACCTGCACAGATCAGCAGCACCCACTTTCCTCCTCTGGAGGGGTCACTGCTGCTTAAGAAATTGCACTGCTTTAGAAATTGAAAAATGGGGGGGAAGTTACCTAAGGGATCCCATTTATGATCTTTCTGCTTCTCTTTCCTATTTCCTTTGAACTTGGACTCCTTGCGAGGAACATTTCTTTACTTCTTGCACTCATTAAGCGACCTAAGCCAATTCTGTTTCAGAAAAAGGAGTCTTACTGTTTACATATAAATACAAAGTCTGATAGGCCCAATTTTCTTCAGACTCCTATTTTGGTCAAAATAATGATTTTCCCTGTAGTGGCTCTCTACTGTATACAGTATTTAAACATTTTTTCCCTGTTCTTTTCCTAGTTTTGGGATTATTTTCCAATTTTGAAGCACAAGGGGCTGGCTCTCTCTAGGCACCATTCCGGGGACCTTTTTCCCCTGCTCTCGGGAACTCCTATTACCCATCCCTCCAGAATGCTACTGTGAACTCCCCAGCTCACAGGTTACCACACTCTGATTCTCGGATTTTGGGCCCAATCCCTCAGGAGTACTAGACTCCTATCTCGGATTAATAGGGGTGTACTGCTGGCACTTCATCAAGTGCACAGGGTACCACACACCAACAGTTCCCTCCCGAGACTCTTCCTTTCACCAACACAGCCGCTTCGTCCGTCCCTGGCCGTGCCCCTCACGGGACAGCGGAACCGCAGGTCGGGACTCAGCACTCGCTTCGCACTGACAGCGCGTCTCAGTCACACACACTCAAGAGTCTCAACCGACCCCCAAGGAAAGAGTTAAATACCCTTACCTTGGTCCGTGCACGAAGTTACCGGGTCGCAATGGCCAACACCCGTGCCTGCCTGCCCCTTGGCTTTCACAGAGCCCGTCCTTTATGTAACAGTCTCGGTTTTTTATCGGCCGTACCAAGGAGTCACCTCACCACCCAGACAGGACCGCTGAAATCAGCGGGGTGCACCTATCCTGTGCAGGGCAGTAGGGAAACTCCCAAAGAGGCGATAATAATCCCGGACGAGCCCCCAAATTGTTGGAAATAATCCAAGTCATGTTGTCAGGACGGTATCTCTGATAAAAGCAGAATTTATTCGCGATTGCAATGGCGGGCGTCCCGCAAGCCGGAGCGCGCCTATGGACACATCATGACAGCCTTTAGACCCTGTTTTCTCCCCCTTGCCTTCCCCCTCCCCTGTTTCCCCACTGGCTGGGTACTCCAGGTTCACAATCTTATCAGAAGGTTTACATTTGTTATTTACTTGTTAATTTATTTGTTATTGGGTGCCAGTCAGTAGTCATCCTGTTGTTTCCAAGATGTCTCGGTGCTCTCCTTGTCCTACTGATGTGGTGATTTTCTTTAAAGTCATCATTAAACAAAGAGCACTGGGGGATGATGTCAGGCCTTCCCAATGTTTCTTCAGGCGCTTCCTCGGGCATGCCATGGCTTGTTCTCTGGTTTGCTCTCGTGCAGGATATTCTTGCAGTGTGTATGACAAAATATACATATATACACCTATATACAGAGTGTGCATTCCTGGGAAGGTTTGTCTAGAGCATAAGTGATGTAAACTTATCAGAGATCTTCCCCAAGTTAAGTAGAGGGACTCCCAAAAAGAATTATGATAGCAGAGATCATATAATATAATATTATACAATTCTAATGCAGAAACAACATTTGATTCCCACAAGGGCTATGTAGCATTTCCACCACAGCATATTCTCTCAAATAACGGATGCCTTCTTCTATATCAGCCCATTTCTTTTTCTCAGGCATCAGATCGTCTTTGAAGGGGTATCTTTCTTTTACAGCTAACAACATCCGCTTCCAGAGGGTGAAGGCCTGGTTCTGGCATGTACCAATGCCTCTGTCAATGGCTGAGTCCCTAGCAATGCCAACCAGTTGGCGAGCTTCTCTACTATCTAGCCACACACTGTTGGCCCCATTGTCCCAGCATCAAAGTAACCAAGTGGCAATAGGCTCGTTTGGGTGACGTGAGAAATCTTTTCTCAGACTTCAAATTTCATTCATTTACAGAGATCGATCAACAGTGGTAACAATATCTTGCTCACCTCTTCCTCTTTCAGGACTTCTTGTTGCCCTCGTAGGCGTTGGTGACCGTGGTCTTACTGAGGGCCCCTCCCCTGGACTCAGGGGTGCTTCTCTTAGATCTCAGAGCCGCAAGCAAGCAGGTAGCAGGAGGAAGTCGCAGAGCCAATCCAGAAGGAAGCTGCAGGACTTAAGTAGCAGGCCCAGGAGAGTCCATCAGCATGCAGGAATTCCATAGTGAGGAATCTGATGGCAGACATCTTTGTTCTTCAGCATCGTGGTAGAGCGCAGACCAAGTCCAGGAGGGAGAGAGGCAGGTCATGAGGCTTCTCATGTCAGAAACCTCTTCTTCATGAGGAATCTGTTGCCAGAAAACCTAAATCTCATGATTGTAGGTTCCCATTTTATCCTTCTTCTTTTTCTGCCCATGTGACATCCCTGGGCGCTTGGGCAAGAGTTATGTGAGTACCCCCCTGAGATGGCCATCTTCCTCGAGATAAGCCCACACAAAAGACCACTTCACGGCCATTAAGCTGCAGCTTCTCTCTCTCTCTCTCTCTCTTTGCTCCTGGCCTTGTCTATCTGTGTCCCTCAGACAAAGGATTTCACAAACCTTGACCAGGTCTTGTCCATCTGTGTTCTCCAGACAAAGGATTTCTCAACCCTTGCCCAGGACTTGCTTGGACTTGTTCATCTGTGTCCCCAGCAAGCTTTGAGACAATGATGTAAAAGAATAATCTCTTACACTCACACAGTTTGGAGGGTGTCCCATTCAGATTGGAGGGTGTCGAGTTTGAATTAAAGGGAGTCTCGCTCGGATTCAAAGGCATCTCGAGATTGGAGATTCCTTCTCTCAGCTCGGAGATTTTCCCCTTTGGCTTGGAGACTTTATTTCTCAGCTCAGAGACACTCTTGCCAGGTTTTGAGATTCTCCTGGCTAGGAGACTCTCTTTTTCAACCCAGAGATTCTCTGTCTCAGTTTGGAGACTCTCTCTTTCGGATTGCAGGGAGTCTCTCTTGATTAGAGGGCATCTCTCTTGGACTGGAGGTCTTTTCTTTCAACCAGGAGACTTCTCGCTCAACCCAGAGATTCTCCTTTTCAGCTTGGAGACTCTCTTGCTCATTTTGTACTGTTTCCCTGAGACTCTCCCTTTCAGCTCTCAGACACTCTCTCAATTTCACAAACTCTCTCCCTCTCTGGGATAGTATTGAATAAGGCCCGATAAGCATTAGCCAGGCCCCAAATAATTTGTGCCTCCTCAGATCTGCCTGAGCCACAACATTCCTGTCTCAAATAAATGTTTAAGCTCTCAGGGTCTTTCAGGTGTTCAGGAGTAAAGTTCCATGACACTGAAGATGTTCATGTCTCTAAAGTCTCTACCAAGCCTCTCCACACTCCCTGCCACTCAGTATTCTCTGGTTTTGGGGAAGGCTTCTTCAAAATATGATAAATAAAAATACTGAGTGATATGATGAGCAGTAAATTCAGGGAGATTAACAACGTGATAAGATGAGCATTGAAAAACTGCAAAAAGGATTCAAAGGAGAGACTTGGAGCCTGCTTAAAAATCCCAAGTTCTGTGAAATTAGCAGCTCCCTCTGCAAACAGTTTTAAAAGAGAAAGCAGAATCATTTTTTTTTCTCTTTACAGAAGCAAGATAGCAGTGCTCAAAGTTTACAAACATCCCAGAATATTGGCAGTCCCCCTGGACTTTCAAGGTCAAGTTTTAAGTGAGCACCTGTGAAAAAGACAAACTTTCCCAATGAAACTCTCTGATAGCAGAGAGAGAGATTCGTTCTAAAAGCTAACAAGCAGCCTTTGCCCTCATTCTCCACCAAGAATGTCAACGGTTTACGGGCTGGTTCGGCCCAGTTCGGTGACTAGCGGGGCGGAGGGATTTCACAAAATCTGCACCTCCGGAAAAGGGAAACAGGGGACCCCAAAATAATTAAAAACTGCGGCAACGATCTGAGGAGAAACAAACTAATTTACTAAATATGGTATTGGAATACAAGATAACACACTGTAATACAATATAATTAGAATTGAAGCTAATAAATCAAATATAAAGAGAGAATGTCCGAAAGGTGGATAGGCCTCACCATAACGCTGAGGTGAGATGCGCAGTCCAGTTGAGCAGCAGGGAGACGGGAGGAGAGCCAACAAGGAAGAGCACCTCAGGTGACCTTTCCAGGAGTTATATCTCCTCTCTGACTGCAAAGCCCCCTGGGGAATGTAGTTCTTCTTCTCTTCCGGACAGGTACCTGGAACTTGAGCATTAATAGTTAAACTCCCAGTGCACTACATGATGTTATGATGTGGAATACTGATAACCAAAAATCATAAAACCATGACACCATCACAGTACTCCAGTCATGGGAGTGGTCCCACCATGTTTCAGTAATAGCAACTAGGTCATAGCCTGATGCACAATCGCTTTCAGCTCCTCCTGCTTGTTGCCCCTGCTGCTTGCATTGGTGTAGATGTACTTCAGCTGAGTCATCTGCCTCACCCCCAGCTCAAGCATCGTTCCCCTGGGCTCACCTCTTTTGAACCCTGTTTTGTCCCCTTCCCCCGTCTTGGCTAGTTTAAAGCTCTTTCAATAAGCCCCACTAGCTCCTGCGCTAGGATTCATTGCCCCTTTGATATAGGTGGGTTCTATGGACGGACAACATGCCAGGGGCTGAGTAATCTGCCCGATGATCAAAAAACCCAAAGTTTCTGCTTCAGTACCAGGATAAATGCTCACTTAAGATTGTACGGTTGGACTAGATGATCTTATAGGTCGTTTCCAACCTTGTGATTCTATGATTCTATGATTCTAAGATACTTTGCCTGTCTCTGGAGGGCAGAGCTGACTAGATTGGATAATGAACTGTTCCCTTTTGCTTCTGCAGGGCAGAGTGAAGCTGGAGTTAAGTGTGCTGGAAAACTACCCAGACTGATGCTTAGTTCTTATGAAGAAAGGTTGAGGGAACTGTGCTTGTTCAGCTTGGAAAAGAGAATCTCTGGGGAGACCTCATTGTGGCCTTCCAATACTTGGAGGGAGCATATAAACAGGAGGGAGAACAGCTGTTTACGAGGGTGGATAGTGATAGGACAAGGGGGAATGGTTTTAAACTGAGACAGGGGAGGTTTAGATTAGATATTAGGAGGAAGTTTTTCACTCAGAGGGTGGTGACACACTGGAACAGGTTGCCCAAGGAGGTTGTGGGTGCCCCATCCCTGGAGACATTCAAGGCCAGGCTGGATGTGGCTCTGGGCAGCCTGGTCTAGTGGTTGGCGACCCTGCCCATGGGAGGGGGGTTGAAACTAGATTACTATTGTAGTCCTTTTCAATCTAGGCCATTCTATGATTCTTAGGGTTAGATAGGCTGTGTAGGGCAGTTTTACAATTTATCTGTGGTGCTTTTCAAACCAGTCTGCTTCTAAAAATGCCATCGGCCCCAAGCAGTCTGAATCTTTTGTTTAACTCACTAGAAATTTCCAGTTTTGTTTCTGGTAGGAGCAAGGGGTAGGTCTGTTTTGGCTTATTATGATAATTTTTTTTTGTATCCTTTAGTATCCTGTGGAGCACCCAGACAAGTTCCTAAAATTTGGTATGACCCCATCAAAAGGGGTTCTGTTTTATGGGCCACCTGGTTGTGGTAAGACACTTCTGGCCAAAGCCATTGCCAATGAATGCCAGGCAAACTTCATTTCCATCAAGGGGCCAGAATTGCTTACCATGTGGTTTGGAGAATCTGAAGCCAATGTGCGTGAGATCTTTGACAAGGTAGGTGTTGACAGGGTAGCTCCTTATGCTGTGATTGTGCTGAGTTACTCCCAGAATGTTGTCTCCACTGCATCTGTCTTACTGGCTTGGTTATTGTTTGGTTATTTTGTGTTTTCCCAACTGGCAATGTGAGCAGACGTTGCTTTCCTGATGTTAGGGTATTAATCCTCTTTGGGAATATAGCTATTTAACTGGTGTTCTCCCACTACAGTTTGCTTCTGCTGTTATGGGATGATAAATGTCCCAGTGCCTTAGCAGTAAGGCTAGCATTAGGGTGGCATAAATATCTTTCACATCCCTTAAAACTTAGGTTGACACCTCATTATACATCACCTACAGATTTTGAAAACCTCCTACAGGTTGTTTTCCTGCAGTATGCATGACATAGGAAAGGAGTTCCACTCCTGCTGCTCAGTTTCCTGTAGTGTCACATCCTTTCCCAAAAGGTACACACATGGATTACCTTAGGAATCCTCACTTTTGTGGTCAGGGAAGCCACTGAAAGAGCTATGTTGGAAGGAGAATTAGAGAAAAATGGGGGTTGGAAAGGAAGCTCAAAGGCCATCTGCTCCAACTGTTTGTCCAGGGCAGGGAGACAACTTGGAAATTTGGTTTGTGTGTATTAGGTCCTCATGTATGTTAGTTCTGAACACCTGCCAAGGATGGAGAATCCCTGACTTCTGTGGGCCTGTGTGCTAGTAGCAGTTTGCACCTGTTCTCACTGCATACTTCAAAGAAGGATCTGGCTTTTGCCAGACCTTTTGATATGTTGTGACTACTGATAACCCAGTGCCTAAATAACTAACTGACATCCTCAGATCTTGCAGGGAGAATTCTTGTCTAAGCAAATTGGTTCCAACTTTCCCTATAGGTATCAGTTACCATCCTTCTACTTGGTTCACAATGTTCCCAGTTTGGGGAAAATTCACCTTGTTTTTTTGAGGTAGCAGTGCTCTGGTATTCCTTTGAGCTACTTTAATTCTAGGGTAGGCTTAGCATGAAATCAGTGCTCCTTACCTGGTAGTGTTTAACAGGGACTGTTTTTCTTTGGTTTTTGCAGGCCCGCCAAGCAGCCCCTTGTGTGCTCTTCTTTGATGAGCTGGACTCCATTGCAAAGGCTCGAGGTGGGAATATTGGAGATGGTGGTGGTGCTGCAGATCGCGTCATCAACCAGATCCTGACAGAGATGGATGGCATGTCTACCAAGAAGAACGTCTTCATCATCGGTGCCACCAACAGGCCAGACATCATTGACCCAGCTATCTTGCGTCCTGGCCGCCTGGATCAACTCATTTACATCCCCCTGCCTGATGAGAAGTCCCGAGTTGCTATTCTTAAGGCCAACTTGAGGAAATCACCAGTTGCGAAGGTAGGATCTATGCTATGACTGTATCTGACTTGGTTTTGTTGTGTGCTGCACATGTTCCTCATGAGCTGCAGACAAAGAAGAGAGTTAGTGACTGTTCTGTGCAGTACAGAGCTGGGAAACCTTCCATCCTTAAAGAATGGAAATAAGAGGTCAGGGGAGGCTCAAGCTCTAAAACTAGGTATCAACAGGGCTAGGCATCAATACGTAAGCACAGCAGATCTTATCACATATTAGAGTTCTGCCCATGGTGTAGGAGTGGGAAATGCCTATTATGGCAAGGTGGAAAACGAGTCTTGTACTCTGAAAGAAAAGTAAATGTAGAAAATAGGTTGAAAATAGGAAATTGAAGAGGAATCATTGCAGTTGATTGTTGCCAAACTCTTTCATAGACAAAAGTTATATCCTTTGCCTGGGGATCAGGCAATAATTAAACTGATAGTTAATCAGAGAAAAGCAGATGTCAAGTGAGTGCACAAGCTTTTTTTAGGTCAAGTTTACCTTTTTAAGTACTGCTGGGAAGGAAAGCTTTAAAGGAGGTTGCAGTACTGCTCCTGTCAGTTGACAGGAAGGAGAGGAGGTTTTTTGTCCTTTCTGCCTATGCCCCATCTCCATTTCCAGTCTGACACATTCATTTGACTCCTAATGCTGACACCTGAGCAAGTCATATCTGAAATCCCAAAGTCAGCTTGCTTCTTATTGAAGATGATCAGTGGAGGGGCATTTATAACTGCATAGTGGATTCTTGCTGGGTATGGGGGAGGATATAGCCTGCCCTTGTATGTGGTTAACTGGAAATGAGAGCCTTAACAGCTTATCTTTCTAAAACTGGCTAAAGTTAAGGCAGTGTGTTGGTACCATGGGATCTAAAGCCACCTCTTGATCACCTGAGAGTGCAAGGTGTAAAGAATAGGCTTCTCTTGTTTTGTTTTTTTTTTTGCTAGGATGTTGACCTGGATTTCCTAGCTAAGATGACCAATGGCTTTTCGGGGGCTGACCTGACAGAAATTTGCCAGCGTGCCTGCAAACTGGCCATCCGTGAGTCCATTGAGAGTGAGATCAGGCGAGAACGTGAGAGGCAGACCAACCCTTCTGCTATGGTGAGTTGGAGCACTCTGAGCTTTCCTTGCTCATTAAAAAGACAGCTCACTTCTGCCTATGGGTGAGGGATGATGTGTTCCTCTCCATAATCCTCCAATGAGGACAAGTAGGCTCTCTGCACAGAGTGCTGAGCTGGAGCACTCTTTGTTCTGTTCTTGTGGGAAGGCAAAGACCTCCTAGCGTGCCTCATCACTGGCATTGCTCAACTGCATCTACTGCAGCATCCCTCTCTAGACCTTGCCTCAGTGGGTATTGATGCATCCTGGCCCAGAGGGAGGTGTGGGCGAGTGTTGAACTGCATGTGGCTCATCTCAGCCCTCTTTCCCACTGCAGGAAGTGGAGGAAGATGACCCAGTTCCTGAGATACGCAGGGATCACTTTGAGGAGGCCATGCGCTTTGCTCGCCGCTCTGTCAGCGACAACGACATCAGGAAATACGAGATGTTTGCACAGACTCTACAGCAGAGCCGCGGCTTTGGCAGCTTCAGGTAACTAAAGGGAGGTGATGTGACCTGGCTAGCTCTAGGAACAGAGCAGAGGGCAGCTTTATTATACTATGGGTAATGATCCCCTCTTGCACTGCGTTTTTCCCATTTTCCCCAGAGTATACAGCAGCCAGCTGAGCATGTGGTGGGTACAGACTGCACTGCAGGTCAGTTGTATCTGCTCTGTTAGTGCTCTTGAAGCCCATCAACCCTTTTTCCTTTAATGCAAGCAACATCTGGCAGCAGTGTAAGCCTTTGCATGACCTGCCATAAGGCTTCACCATATTTCTCCCCTCTTGTACTTGGCATCAGGGTGTTGGTTTGGAGGGAGGGGATTGTGCTGAGCTGTGAGGAGGCTTCTGAACATCATCTCTTCTCTTCCCTTCTGTGCTGCTGCATGCAGGTTCCCATCAGGTAACCAGGGAGGCGCTGGGCCAAGCCAAGGCACAGGAGGTGGCAGCGGGGGCAACGTTTACAGTGAAGACAATGATGATGATCTTTATGGTTAACTTGCTGTCCTCAGTAGACCAAATTCCAAGTCAGGCTAAGTTGTACAGGGAAAATCCAATGTTCAGTGGACTCCTGATTTCTTCATTCCTCAGTCAGAACAGTGTAGCTGCACGTCAGACTTTGTACAGGGGATGTATTCTGCAAACACAAATCCAGACCGATATTCAGTTGGGAGACAGTGAATTAACAAGTAGGGGGAACCGACTTAATTTCTGAGAAATTTCTGTTGTAGTTTATGTGGCAGAATCAGCAACTTTAGCAAAGGGTACAATGCTAGCCTGTATTAAAACAAACAACAAAACCAAATTAAAAATAAAATAATAAAATAATAAAAATCTCACAAAACTCTAGCTAGGCCCTGGCATTTCCTTTGTGTGATGCTGTCACAGCATTGAAGTGTTGCCTCTGTAAGCTCTGTGTCTCACTTGCTGTATGAACATTCCTCAGCTGCCCTTCTTGTCTGGTGAAGTTCATCTGTGCATTTCCCTGGAGCATGCGTGTGCATTTTCCCTGGTGGGGTGTGCAAGGTTGCTCTTCATCCTTAAGTCTCTTAGCTCATGTTAACAGAACAAATTGGTTGGGCAGTCTCTCTCCTGTTCCAGAATTTGAAAGTAAGCACCAAGTAAGCTGGCAGATACCTGGCATTGCTTTTCTGATGCTGGCTATGAGCTGTTGGATTTCCTGTTGCATTTGCTCCTGTGCAACAGAGAACTCCAGGAATTCCCCTTATCTTGCCCTGCTTGAAGGCAGGCATGAGGGGGATCCTGGGCTTTCTCTGGAGTTTGTGGTGCAGCATGATCCAAGTATGTTTGGGAACAGGGGAGCTTTCTTTGATGCTGTTAGCAACAGAGCAGTGTTCATCAGACTCTGTGTAGAGATTTCTCCTTTTTGCAGGAATGGTTCATGTATCTTTTTGGGTTTCTGATAAAAGGTTTGTGTTTTTGCTGTGAGCCTGCCAATTTTTGTGCCCCCAATACTCAGTAGTCAGGTTTTGATCAGGCTCTTGTGCTTTTCCTTCTTTTCCTGGCTTGTTTCTTGCTTTGTTTTCCCTTCTCTGAACTGAAAAACCTGCTACTGCTGTACTTAGTATTTTATATTAGATAGTCTGGTAGCTGCATGCTCCTCTAGCCCTGAGTTGTCACAGCAGTTGCCTGCAGCTGAATTCAATTCTTCTTTCCCTGCCTGATGTGAACATGCTGGCCACCAGCAGATAGGTGGGCATCCTTTACTAGCTGTCTGGCTTATCCAGCTTGGGGCTGGATTTAGCAGTATTTGGGATGTACAGCTGGGCAAGGGGGGACCTGTTTAATGTATGCACAGGAGCATTGCCACTGGCCATATGTGGCCCAGACCTGAATCATGCAGGGCAATGCATCTTGGCTGTAAGATGCACAGAGCAGCTGCCTACTGTCAGCTTTTAGGGGGTTGCAGGAACTGAGAATTTTTGCAAAGACACCTAACAAGACTGTGTTGAAACAAGCTTTTGGGGCAACTTCTGCTATGGCAGGAATTGTGCAGGGCCCAGGCTGTGGGTTTTTTTGCCTTAAAGACTGTCAACTGTGGAAGGGCTCCATCAGATTACCTAGACAGTAAAGGGAGGGAAAAGAGTCAGAAGGATGAGGCTATCCAGGTGCAAGGGACTTGAGGGGAGAAATGCACAGACATTGAGAATGCTGCTTAAATAGCATGATCACCTATGGGAGGCTGCATTAGGAAGCCATGCAAGCTCAGCTGAGTTACCCCTGCTCAGGTGGTCTGTCCTAGTTCAGAACCCCATTCTACTGCTGTACTTGTCTTCAAACCACCTGGGTTCAGGGCTATGGGGAAAATGCCGGGGTTCCTAGGGTTGTGCTGCTGCTCTGCAAGTTTTGCTGTCAGCTGCCTAGGGAGGGGAAAGGACTGTTTGACAGCAGGAGCTCTTCAGGACTTGTAAAAACCTTGCCTAGCTCTGGTATTGGGTGGATTTCTTCCCTGACAACTTGGAAATGTTACCACCCACCCCTGAGCTTTGCCAGCACTAATGCCAGATTCTGTCTGCCATCCCTTCAGGCTGTACAGATTGGGGCAGGAGGCAGATGGGCAAACAGGCAGAGGGTGATGGTGTGTGTGTGTCCCAGGTTTTGGGAGCCCAAGGTTTCCCTGCCTCCTCTCCTATTTATAAACGCTAATTAAATCTAGTAGCAAGGTTAGAAACCTTTGTTTTTCTTAGGAGCCAGATTATCTGGCTCCTAGAGTATCTGCCCCTGTACTGGAACAGTGCATGAGGCTGGGGTAGCCCCTAAGCAGGTCGAGGTGGGATGCTTGGTTGAGTCTTTTCATTGCTGCCATGGGCAGCAGCTCCTTGGGATGTCTGCTGGGGCCCCAGCCCTACAGCTCTGCCCCATGGGGGAACCATGCAATCTCCTAGGGCCTGTAGCCTGGCTTGGAGCGTGTGGCATGGGAACACAAATGGTCATGACACTGGGTTTAGAGACTGCGGTCTCTGCTGGTAGCAGAGGGCAGGCATCCCTGTCATTATAGTCAGCCCCTACTTGGGATCACAGCTTCTTACAGCAATCTCACTCAAAACACCTAGCCTGAAGCCACCAGTGGTGTTAGTAAGAATGGATTGCAGGGTTGCAGAGGGGGACAGGAGGGAAGGGCTCCATTCAAGCCCCACAAAGCAGGGCCAAGCTCAAGCATGTTGCTCAGGGCATGGCCCCATCCAAGACTGGAAATCTTCAAAGATGGAGGTTTTCCTCCATGAGCTAACCACCCTTATGGGCAAACGTTTTTCATGGTACTGGGGGGGAGTTTCCCTGGGTGCATCCTGTGCTGCTGTTTCTCACCTGGATCATGAAAAAAGGTGGGTCCTGGCATCCCTCCAACCTCCTTGACAGCCCACATCAGCAAGGAGTTCCTTTCATCATCCCATCCTTGGCTGTACCACCCTACTGCTTGCAGCATCTCCTCAACCATCCTGGCCTCTGTTCTCTTGTCATTCTTCACTGGACTCACTCCTGCTGCCTGTGTTGGTTGTGTCCTGGGAGCCCTCATGGGATCCCTCCCAGTGCCAACAGGGACTCTGAGCCCCTTCTCCAGCCTTACTGTCTGCAGCAGGGTGAGCACAGCTCCAGCACCTCACATTACATCTGCTAAGGAGTGATATATTTTTAAATAATTTATTTTTTCTCTCAATGCTGCCCTTACAAAAAAAAAAAAAAAAAAAGTTAGGGCTCATTGAAACTGACGCAGTCTCTTCACTGTGCCTCACTTGATGATATCATTGCAGGGCAGCAGGATCACTCCCATCAATGGTGGAAATGTTCACAGTGCAGCCACACAGGTCCTGTAGGGAAAAAAAGAGGAATATGCCATAATCCAGTTCCACAGCACTGCACCAAGAGAGCCTGGAGCCCCTCCTTCCCTGGCACTGTGGGGGTAGAAGCCCTGGGGGGGACAGGATCCCCACTCCCCATCCCCTGCTCCTCCCCATGGGCACTGCCAGTGAACAAAAACAGGACAGTCTAAATTTAGCTCCTTACCACCTGATCTGGGAGCTGAAAACCCAGCTGAGCACGTTGGATACTTCTGTGGTCCATCAGCTGTCGCTGTGTGGAGTCTGAAGTTATCTATAGCACAGCCACTTGCCCCCACTCTACTCCAGTCTTCTAGGGTAAAACCAAAAGCTGATTTAGCTGATTTCCTAGGCTGCCATCCCTGTCCTCACCTCAGGGCTGAGTGCTGTCTCCTGCAGAAGCCAGCAGAAGCCAGCAGTAGCCGTAAGTTGGCCTGCGTTAGCAAGCTACATGATGCAGGAATGCAGCAAGAGAATCCTTGTTTCCTTACTCAGACTGCTCTGTTGTACGGGCAACAGCATCTCCAGGCCTTCACCAAGAGGCTGCCATTGATGGAGGACTGCAGAGCAATACTTATGGAAGGGGATGATTCATGGGGACTGGCCTTGCCCTGCACAGAAAACAGTCATCCCCCGACCTCTGTCCCCAAAAGCCACCCTGCAAAGGAAGTGGGGGAGGATGCTCTGCAGTCTCCTACCCAGAAAAAACCTCCAGTGCCAGGTACCACGAGAAATGCTTATTTTGCTGGCCCCTGGCTCAAGGTTGATGGCTGCCGCTTCTGCTGTTGTACCAGGGCTCTACACCAAAATAAACACAGAGCCACTTGTGCTGGGCTTGGCTCTCAGCAGGGGAGAGCATCAGGTGCTGCCACATACTTAGAGGAAGGTGATGTTAGGTAAAGGATGTCACAGGGCTGCAGGCATTGTGCTTCTCCCATCTCCCTAGAAGCCTGTTGGTATTGGTTATCTGCCTCCCAAGAGGCTTATGCAGCTGCTGTTAGCAGTGTCACTCCTCCCTCCCTCAGCATTCCACTGCAGATGCTCACCTGTAATTTTAGGAATAGATGTTTTTCTGCAGCCCATGAGTCACTGGGAAAGCCTGTTCACATCTACTGCATCTGCAGCAGCCATCCCAGCTGGGGTGCAAGGAGCCCAGCCACCACGGTGCCATGAAGCTGCCTATCCTTTGGTATCCCTTTGCCACCATCTCCAGTGTGACCTAGCACTGCTGGAGGCAGCTTGGGTGGGAGGTTTGTGGATGCTGGAGGTTACAAGTTCCTACTGAAGAGCCATCAGGATGGCCACTGCTCTGGCTCAGGTTTGGGAAGGAGCCATAAGGAAGTAGACATTGCATTTCCAAGCTCTCTGATCACTCCATCCTGCTCTGCCACCCCAACCGCTCCTTGCAGGTCTGTGGCCAAGAACCATACTCCCCATAGTTCTCCAGAACAGCCACAAGTAGGATTGCAGTTCCCAGTGCCTGCTGGTATCATACTGTGCCACTCAGGAAGCTGAGAAGACCAAAGCTCCTGCTAAAAAAGGCAGACTCACAACAATGAACACTGCAAGGAAAGCACTCAAGGTTGTGGTCATAGGCTTAGCTGATAAAGAAGTTGTTCTGTGATTAATTCCATCACACACTGAGATGGTGGCATGTGGGGTCAGGGAGCTCCTTCTATCTGCTTGTGCCCCAGCAAGGCCATGATAGGGCTGGGATCCAGCACCCCACAACCCTGTCCACCAAGCTGGGTCCACCTGCAGGAGAATGTCCTGGTCCAGCCTTGATCCAGCCCTGTACCCAAGGCTTTGGGCCTTGAAAATATGTCCTAAAACTCAAAAAGTCATCTTTTGCTGCTGAAATGAATCTTTGAACCCTGAAATGAGACTGCAGTTGCTAAGATTGAGAATTTTGAGCCTGAATTGAGGCACAAAGTGAATGTGGATTTATACCCTCAAAATGGGACTTTGGTCTGAAAAGGAAGCTTTGGCTCATCTATATAGGCTAAGCACAGG